AGGAGAACATCAAACTTTCCTGTCTTCAATTTGTCCATCAACTCTGGAGATTTGAGAATGCCGTCACAGTATGACAAACCCATATCTTGATGTCTGGAACCAAGGTCGAAGAATTTCATTTGAATCTGCAGCAAGTTTAATTGCTCCATCTCAAACACTGAGAAATGTAGAAGTTCATCCAAGAAATCTTGCATGTCCTGTGCGGATGTGGACACACTGAAGTTCTGGTAGGAGAAGCGATCTGATTCTTTGGCTTTCATAAAGAGCGCGCCATCAGGCATCAGCACTGTAACATTGTGTCCCCTGTCCAATAAAGTGTCCAACACAATCTTCAGATTAATCCAGTGGCTGCCCTCAGTATGCCAGACTAATATATTCCCACATTGTCCAGCGCTGAACACAGTGAGCAGAGAAAGAAAACAGACCACGAGTCTCATGATTGCAAATGACAGAGTATGAGATCAACAGTGATCTGCTTGAATATGTACAGCCTGGTATAATTTTTAACCTAGAGTATGGATTTCAACAAGTCACCGCACTCATAAATCAATAAAGTTTTAGGTAAAAGGTAGAGGTCAAAGAGATAGGTACAAGTTCATAGTGTACACAATGTCCTATAATCTGTTTTTGGGGTGGGGGTGGGGGCATAGGACTGTTTGTATACATCTCAATTTCAGAAAAGGTGTTAAAGTGCTACAACTCTGCACAGTTGGGAAATTCCTGGCTATAGACTACAGCCCTGCTCACACTCTGAAATTTTAGCCACGATTTTGTCAACTGAGACAAACTTGGCAAATCCTAAAAGATTACTGAAATTCTAGGCTAAAATCTGTGATCTTTGATTGTTGGTTTAACACGTTCACTGACAGCTTAGAGCCTGTTGCAATCAGATTTTTCCTCAGATGAAGTTCTGGCAGTGTCAGAAGATTTCAGACACTTTCCAGCAGTGTGACAACAGATGCAATGAGCGTCAATCCAAGAACCAATAGGAGCTCCGAATTTGATGATGCAATCCATGCGACAATTCAAATGACTGCTGAAATTTTCAAAATCGTTTTATTACCTTCCTGATTTTATTATTGAGACACGGTTTGTGCAAAATTGCCGCTACAGATTGTCTACGTTTGCTGTGAGGAATCATTTCAGAATGTGGGATTGTGAAATTGTCACGCGTGGATGACATCAAACTCTGGGTCATTTTCTTTCGTGTTTGGCATGTCTTTATTGTGGTTCAGTCTGACTTAATTACAGCTGAGGTCTTACAGTGTGACATTGGAGCCATGTTCCAGCAGTCTGACATACTACAGTTTGTAGATTTAGGATTATAAAAAGAAAAATGAAAAAAATCCCACAGTGTGACACGGCCTTACCTGCACATGCACTCTCAAGGCTAACTTATACTTCTGTTTCAAGCGCACGTGTATGCTACGGCGCAGCCTACGCGTGGACGCATCGCCCTATGCCATGGTCGTCGGCGTCGCTGATGTGCAGCTCTCAAAAAATGTAACTACACATCAAACGACTCGTAGCGCAAGCTCTGTGATTAGTCAGCTTGGTAGCACTAACGAGTTTGGGCGGGACCGAGAGCCGCACGAGCCCAATGGAGTGATTGTTTACAAGTGTGGAGTCCCGTGAAGGAGCTCCGGATGGAAAGTTTTGTTGCACGTCCGCCAGTTCCTGCCTCAAAATGAGCAAGTTTGAGCCACTTGTACATTCAGGAAGCGTTCAGAAAAAACAAAACTCCAGCGAAAAAACTCGACACAGAGGAGCATTAACACCTCACTGCCAACTAGCGTTTTGGAGGTGTTATTGCAGAACAACCCGAAACAGCGCGCAGAAGTATAAATGCACAGCTACGCGCGTTGCATGTGCCGTAGGTCAGGCAGATCACTTGACGCAGAAGTATAAACCTGGCTTCAGCCATACACTCTCATGCTCTATAAACGTCTACACCTACTCCGCCTATAAACCCTTCACATTGAAGTCACATGTAAAAAAAGTGCATACCAGACACTCTTGGAGCACACACTGGGTTCCCATTCGGAAGGACTCATTCATGCCTTTACCCCAATACGTCTGGAGGGTCTCTCTGAAGAGATTAGAGCATAGGAATGAGCCCTTCCAAATCATGGGGACCCAAAGTGTCCATCAGTTGTATCCTTTAAAATGGTTCATTTTGAATGGCACTTCCACATTTTGAGAACTTCCAATTGGAACAATAATTAAATTTGATTGTTTACATTGCCTTTCAGAAAGTGGCATATCTCATTTAGAACAAACTGAAAGTTTAGTTTTATCCCTCATAAAACACACCTGATCAAACTAAATGAGTCTTCCAGGGTTGTTTGCAATCTACAGGTAAGTGTGTTAAAGCAGGGTGGAAACCAAAACTGCAGAGCAGTTTGACAACACTGGGCTAAAGGAACAAGACCAAATTCTTAATTTGGTGACTAAATGGAAACGTCTCTAACATTTTGTGCATGCTATTTTTTAAGAAGGCCGAAATATTCAGTGTAATAGTTGTCAAATTTTTTCCAAGAAACACTGTAAAAAGCATCTATAGAAAGGTAGAAGAGCATATTGTAGATCCGCTCAGTAAAGCTCATCTTGTCTGTGAGTTTACTCATGGCTCCTGGAACATATGATGGTGGAGCTGGTATCTGACCACACATGCGCTCTACTGTATGAGCAATTGAGAATCTCAAGGTGTATACCAAGGGAACGTTCAGCACTTCAGCCACAATATCACTACACGGGTACACTGGATCTGACAGGACAACGTCAAACTTTCCTTTCTTCAGTTTGTCCATCAATTCTGGAGATTTCAGAATGCCGTCACAGTATGAAAGTCCCATATCCTGTTGTCTGGAACCAAGTTCAGAGAATTTTCTATGAATCTCCAACAGGTTTGAATTCTCCAGCTCAAACACTGAGAAATGCAGAACTTCATCTATCAAGTCTTGCATGTCCTGTGCAGATGTGGACACGCTGAAGTGCTGGTAGGAGAAGCGATCCGATTCTTTGGCTTTCATGAAGAGCGCGCCATCAGGCATCAGCACTGTAACATTGTGTCCCCTGTCCAATAAAGTGTCCAACACAATCTTCAAATTAATCCAGTGGCTGCCCTCAGTATGCCAGACTAATATATTCCCACATTCTCCAGCGCTGAACACAGTGAGCAGAGAAAGAAAACAGACCACGAATCTCATGCTTGCAAATGACAGAGTATGAGATCATCAGTGATCTGCTTGGACATGTACTGTCTGGTTTAATTTTTAACCTAGTGTATAGATCTCAACAAGTCACGAAGTTTATAAATCCCTTAAGATAAAGGTAGGAGGCCACAGGAAAAAGTAATGCAAGTTCAAACACAATCGTATAATAACTGGAGGGGGAACAGTGAAAAATAAAAGCCAAATGTATAAAAATGTTTTAAACAAGAAAGCAAAATAATATAAAAGGTTGCTTTTACATATACTCATTTATTAGAAGCTTATATCCACCATTTTATGGAGGGTTTTTAAGACAACTATTAAACGTTTTTCCTCTCTTGTGTAAAACTCTGCAAGTACTGGATTACATTCATATTAGTGTAAGTGCGTTTCTAACTAGTTCAGGCAGAGCAACATCAAACTCTCTTCAATTTTGTCTGTCATGGTATGCCATAGTATTTCCATATCCATAGCTGAACTAAGACAATCAGTGTCATGGTTACCAGCAACCGAGTCTGTGCTTCTCTGTGTCCATCAACTACTTTCTGACAAACTCTTTACAGAGCGTACAGATTTAACATGAAATGAGCCAGGTAAAGATGCTTTCCTAATGCAGGAAACTGATAGATATTGCAGTTGCATATTTCATAATGACGGCAGCATCATGCTGTGGGGGGTATTTTTGCAACACAGGCTCATTCTGAAAATGTAGCCCTATAGACATTTCTGCGAATTATGTAGCCAGAAGTATGTATGGTTGCATTTCGTTTTTAAAACGAATGCTATGGGGAGGTATAATGCCGTTCTTTTTTGCACTTACCAGCTGACTGCTTACCTCCAAATGGACGGCTTTCCCGCTGTTACCAGTTTGTCCAATTAGCTCGCCATGAATGTCGGCGGACTTGAGATGCAGGGAGGAGTTGACCACAACGATGAGGTTCGAGTCCGGTAAAGAATGGTTCCAGAAAGCAGGTAAGACAAAAACAGAAGCCAAAAAATAAAATAAACAAGTCAATAACAGGGTGAGAATGTGGTAAAATCTAAAAATGTGGTAAAAACCAAGTGAGGGCTTTTCTTTTTCTGGATTACTTTTTAAAACTGTCGGTTGGGTTTAGGGAAGTGGATGGGCAGGTCATTAGTTGGGTTTAGGGAAGGAGGAGAGTGAGTCAGTCGATCAGTCAGTCAGTAAGTCAGGCAACATCGGCCTCTGGTGGATTTACATGAGAAAAGAGGAATGGCACTTGTGAGAGAACTTTGAGATCTCAAAAAGCATGCACAGCGGCCTCTGGTGGATTTGCGAAAACAAAAACTGCAAAAAAAAACATAGCCCCTGGGATTGGCGCTCTCCAGAAATGTATATTAAGGTACTTTTTCAGAATGAGTCTGGGTTGTATTTTTTAGCTGCAGAGACAGGACGATCGGTTGTAATCGAGAGAAAGATGAATGTACAGGTACAAGGATATCCTGCACGAAAACCTTCTCCAGAGTGCTCAGGAACACAGACTGGATCGAAGGTTTACCTTACAACAAGATAATGACTATTCAGCTTTCAGATGATGTATAAACCTCAATTTAAAAAATAAATAAATTTATGACTGCTTTTGTTATTCAGAGACACAGTAATTTGCTTGTACTGCAGTACTACATGATCACTAACTGTGTTTGATTAGATAAAGGAACAAGCCCAAAACCTTTCACTCGGTCACTTGAGATCTATCTCTTACATTCTGTGCATACTATTCTGGAAGAGGATAATTATTTATTATTTGGAAGCTTCCCTTTACTTACCAAGATATTCAGTGTAATAGTTGTCAAATCTTTTCCAAATGAGTCTATAAAAAGTATCTATAGAAAGGTAGAAAAGCATACTGTAGATTCGCTCAGTGAAGCTCATCTTGTCTGTGAGTTTACTCGTGGCTCCAGGAACATATGATGGTGGAGCTGGTATCTGACCACACATGCGCTCCATAGTGTGAGCAAGGGAGAATCTGAACGTGTAAACCAAGGGAACGTTCAGCTCTTCAGCCACAATATCACTACATGGGTACATTGGATCTGACAGGAGAACGTCAAACTTTCCTGTCTTCAATTTGTCCATCAACTCTGGAGATTTCAGAATGCCGTCACAGTATGACAAACTCATATGTTGATGTTTGGAAAGAAGGTCAAAGAATTTCATTTGAATCTGCAGCAAGTTTGAATTCTCCAGCTCAAACACTGAGAAATGCAGAAATTCATCCAAGAAATCTTGCATGTCCTGTGCAGATGTGGACACACTGAAGTGCTGGTAGGAAAATCGATCCGATTCTTTGGCTTTCATAAACAGAGCGCCATCAGGAACCAGCACTGTAACATTGTGTCCCCTGTCCAATAAAGTGTCCAACACAATCTTTAGATTAATCCAGTGGCTGCCCTCAGTATACCAGACTAATATATTCCCACATTGTCCAGCGCTGAACACAGTGAGCAGAGAAAGAAAACAGACCACGAGTCTCATGATTGCAAATGGCAGAGTATGAGATTATCAGTGATCTGCTTGAATATGTACAGCCTGGTTTAATTTTTAAGCTAGTGTAAGGGTATCAACAAGTCATGGAGCTCATAAATCAATAAAGTAAAAGGTAGAGGCCAAAGAAAAAGGTAATACAAGTTCAAACATTGGGGAGAGGGGGTGACTTTTGTCTGTCATGGTATCCCATAGTATTTCCATATCCATAACTGAAGTCATAAAAGGATTATCATGATTACCAGCAACTGAGTCTGTGTTCCTTTGTGCTTTCTGACAAACTCTTCACCAAGCACACAGATTTAACATGAGCCATGTAAAGTGCCAATGCTTTCCTAAGTCAGCTTTAAAAGTTCAATAATTTTACTGTAAAATAAAAAATTGAAGCACACTAAGGCCCAATCACAATTCTACCCCTGAAAGCTGATCTATACTTCGGCGTCGAGTAATCGTCATGGCCCAAGGTGCCTGCCTTGCGAGTAGTATCGCATTTATACTTCAGCACACTGTTTGTATACCTCTGCAATAGCACTTCTGAAACGCTAGCTGGCAGCAAGTTTTATGTTCCTCTGTGTCGAGTTTCTTCACTGGTGTTTAGTTTTTTCTGAATGCTACCTTAATGTACAAGTAGGTAATATTCACTCACTCACAGGTAGGAACCGGCTGACGTGTAACAACTTTAATCATAAGTTAAACACAAAACAACAGTTTCCATCAGGAGCTCCTTCACAGGACTTTACACTTGTAAACACTCGCTCCATCGTGCTTGCGGCTCTAGGTCCTGGCCTGTGTCAGCCACGGCGAGGGCTATGAGGGCTATAGACCATTTTGATGTGGTAATGTCATTAACCCATGTTATGACCTAAACCGGTCACCACAAATAAGGAGAAGTCGAGTACAATTGCGGTACAAAAATATATTTATTTACTATTATCAAAGGTCATGTTGCTAGCCCATCAGGTCCAAAACCGATCCCAGCCGAAAGATAAGTGACCAGATTCCACGTGCAGCCTCTCCTCGTCTGAAACGAACACGCTATTTATAGCAGAGCAACTCAATCACAAACCGTTGTTCTCAATCCCAGCGCAATCAGCTGGACCTGCAACACACACACACACACACACAGATGCACAGACCGACACCCACACCCCAGCCACAAACGACCACAAGGGGTCGTCACACCCATAAACATTTCCTGCTTGTTGTCAAACTATTTCATAACTGTAACAAGAGGCAATTCAATTATAACTTAATGTTAAAACAGCTATCATAACATGCACAAGCACAACCTTCAGATAATTCTAGTGACTACCAGTCTCTTGATGGCAAATTATTCTATGTAATTTCACTTGATATCATTTGTGTATTCTGCCTCAACATGTACTGTATGGTATATTTTTTATACGGATACATTTCACCAAGGGTTAGAGTTACGCACTCATAAATCAATATATCAAGGTAAAAGATGAAACCTAGAGAAGCAGGTGTATACACAGAGCTTATACTCTTAAAAATGACATACTTCTACTACATATTACCTTTGTGCATTTGACGGGCCTTGTATATACCTCATTCATGGTTATGTAACCGGTCCTGCTAGATGGGTCGTCGACTCTGTGCTGTGTCTAAAGCATGAATGACGTCACACCTTAGGTGCTCAGCATCTCTTAATTCTGATATTTCTGCACAAATAGAGAATTTTACTTTAAAAGACAAGCTCACCCATTAAATCAAGGTGTCCTAGGCATACATTCAGTATGAGAAGTTAACATACTGTGAAAAAGAGCATGAAAACAATATATATGCCAAAACACTGACAATAATGCTTAGACTATACAACAACATAAGTCCACAACTGGACATATATCCAGAACTGGTTATTTTGGCTTCTCCTATTAGCGTAATGTAACACAAACCCATCAGATGGTTCATATTCTTGTAAAGTGTACGATTTAAAGAAAGAAATAAACATCACAAGCTTTCTGCGCAGATGGATAGGCTTACACTGCAGTCTCAGCAGTGCAGCCCTCTATGGGACAGGTAACATCTTACAGCTGCCTTTCATTGCACTCACTGAATAATTTAAGGTGGCATGCACAAGAGAAGCCCTGCAGTACAGAGACTCCAGGGATCAAAAAGTGTCAGGAGCTGGCATTGAGGACAGTGGAAACAGGGTGGAGAGGGGAGAGAGCAGTGGAAGTAGCGAAGTCATGCATCAGGCAGAAGGAGTTGGTTGGCACACTGGCAACAGGGAAAGCTGGCTTGGGATTTCCCCCAAAGACCCTAGTAGGCAAGGCCAGAGAAAAGGAGAGACACCAGCTAATCCAGGAAGATGTCTGAGCAAGCCTACAACGTAAGATCACCTGGAAAAACATAATGTAGACAGACTTCCAGCACATCCCATTCCTCATCCAGGCTGTGTACTATACACTACCAAGTCCAGCCAACCTTCATGTGTGGGGCAAAATTGAGACTCCAGCATGCCAGTTATGCTCTGGAAGGGATCACCTTTTGAGCAGCTGTCCAAAGGCCCTAGCAGAAGGGTGCTACTATTAGGGGTATGACCAAGTACTGAAGGTGGTGGCAGAAAGCATATGCAATGCCATCATCTCTGGAAGGTACTACCGTGCCCCAAAAAGAAGGATTGAAAATGTGAAAGCTTGGGGGGGACCCTGCCAACTGCAAATGTCAAGGTCGGGCCTCCTCCACTCAGCCCCTGACTGGCAGTTGCAAGTTGACCTGTTCCTACAGCACATAGTTACAACATCACTCCGATCAGACATAATTATCATTTCTGAGGCAACAAGACAGTTGATTATGCTTGAACTAACAATGCTCTGGGAGGAGCGGATGGAAGAGGCAAATGAAAGGAAATACTCGAAGTACCAGGAGCTAGTAGATAAGTGCCGGGAAGGGGGCTGGAAGACCAAATGTGAGCCAATAGAGGTGGGCTGTAGAGGGTTTGCAGGGCGTTCATTCTGTAAAGTCTTCAACCAACTAGGCTTAGCAGTAGCAGCTAAGAAGAAGGCCATTAAGTCCATTTGTGAGGCTGTAGAGATAGCCTCAAGATGGCTTTGGATAAAGAGGGCTGATCCGATGGCTAATGGGATGCAAGCTGTGGTCTGATCAACCTCAGCTTGGTCACCTGGGCGAAGATGTCTGATGTTGAAAGACCCGAAACACCCAGTGACCCCAGGATACATCACTGATATTGCCAACCCAAGCTCATTCTGAAAACGAAGTCCCGCGGACGTTTCTGGAGACAGTGGAATACGTCCCAAGGGGCTGTTCGCTTTCGCGCTTGCCTTACCTCCTTGTGGAGGGCTTCCCCGCTGCAAACCGTTTGTCCACTCAGCTCACCGTGTACGTCGGCAGGCTCGAGATGCAGAGAGGAGTCGACCACGGCGATCGGTTTCGAGTCCGGGGATGAGCAGTTCCAGCAATCAGGTAAGACAAAAACAGAATCCCAAAACTTAAGTGAACGAGTTTCGTGACAGGGTGAGAACGCGGCGAAATCTGAAACCGCGGTAGAAAAAAAAAAAAAAAAACGGGGCTTTTATTTTTTTGGACGGCTTTTTGTAAACTGTTGCTCGGGTTTAGGGAAGTGAGCGGGCGGGCGGGTCGATCGGTAAAATTATTTGGGTTCGGGGAAGGAAGAGGGCGGGTCGGCCGATTGGCCGGTCGCTCAGTCAATCATCCGTTCAGTCGGACAGCGGCCTCCGGTGGGTTCGCGAAAACAAAAACTGTAGCCGTACGTACCCGCCGGGATGTATTCCGCGGTCTCCAGAAACGTACGCGGGACTACGTTTCCACAATGAGCCCGGGTTGGATATTGCATCCCAGTGCATCTAGATCAGGGGTGTCAAAACTCGGTCCTGGAGGGCCGGTGTCCTGCATAGTTTAGCTCCAACTTCCTTCAGCACACCTGCCTTAAAGTTTCTAGTATACCTAGAAAGAGCTTGATTAGCTTGTTCAGGTGTGATTAATTGGGGTTGGAACTAAAACATGCAGGACAGGCCCTCCAGGACCGAGTTTGGACACCCCTGATCTAGATGATGTGTATTGGACAATATATATTAGTACATACTTGTATTTACAATGCTTTATTAATGAATCCTACACCATAATGTAACGATAGGTATATACTGGAGGTCAAAAATACAGTAAATAAAACATTTTGTAGGTGCTGGCGCAGTAAAAAACATTGTCAAAGTGGCTAGTTTTGCCACTAAAATAAGTAAATGGCACAAATGTTGTGACACACTATACACTACACACTTATAATACTCATTACACTATAGTCTATTGACTTTATAAAGTTATTTAGTCATCCAAATTCTGAGTCTGACGGCCTTTTATCGTCAACTAATAAGGAAAGCTGTGCAAATTACACTCTAAAAAATAACTCAAGAGATCTGTTACCACTACATAGTTTAATACATTATTGTAACTTAAAAATTCAAAAATGCTGATTAGATTAAAACTTTTAAGTTGCCAAAATAATTTTATAAAGTTTTCAAAACAGGAAAATATTGATAATTACATAAATTTAAAAATGCAGGTAATTTAAAGGTAAATATATCTGTCAGTTGCTTTAAAACAATATTTAACTTGTAGCAACACAAAGAAATGAGGTTACTTACTCACACTAATGGAGTTCTTTTGTATTTTTAAGTCCACACAATAATGTTTTTTGTTATTTTTTACACTGATAATATGGGATAGTACATGTTTTTGTTTTGTAAAACAATGAAAATCTGTGGTTTAATACAAATAAAAAACTACCGAAAAACAAAAATGTTGTTGTTAAATGTACTTCTTACAAGCATGAACAGTAAATCTGAAAACAAACTAAAAATTTAGCAATTTCGGCTACTTAATTTATTTGTGGTTCTAAAGTTAAAATTGTGCATGTAATTAAGTGCATAACATCACACTGGATTTGTTTTCTAGTTGAAAACTAGTTGAAAAAACATTTTTGAGTACTAAACGTATAGATTTGAGGTTTTTGCTAGGTAAAAAAGCCTCTGATTGAAGAGGAAAATATTTGGCTAACATAATAAAGTTTGTTGTCTGAACCTCATTTTGTTAGATGTTGTCGTAACTTCAGTATATTAATGCAAACTGTTGCCTTAAATTTTTTTCTTTTGTCTAAACAATATTTTTTAGAGTGTAGGACACACCTATACTAATACCCCGCCCCAGAACTGTTTTTCAGGTACAATTTACAAGAGTTTGATTAAATAATAAAAGAGAAATCCACACTGGGCTTTTTTTCCTATTGAGCTCTGTATTTAAGTCACACAGTGGTGTATTCAGTTGTCAAATGATCAAGTTTCTGAGAAAATCTTGCCAAACAGGTTTCTGACAATAATAAAAGTGTTCATTTTGAATGATAATGCCTCTTTTATATATTCATACTGATTAATTTCAGTATCAGATGAATCACCTGGGTTTCCCCCACAGTCCAAAGATATGTGTTATAGATGAATTGAATAAACCAAATTGGCCATAGTGTGTGTGAGTGTGAGTGTGTATGGGTGTTTCACAGTGCTGCATTGCAACTGGAAGGGCATCCGATGTGTAAAACATATGCTGGATAAGTTGGCGGTTCATTCTGCTGTGGTGACCCCTGATAAATAATGTGACTAGGCCGAAGGAAAATGAATGAATGAATGAGTTAACTTGAAAATTACAGAATATTATATCATCCTCTTTGTCTGTGGCTTTTGGAAAAAAAAGCCTAAAGTTTATTTCATCCAATTACATTTACATCAGTGGTCTCAGACTCCAGTGGCCCTGAATTCCTGGAGGGGCACAGCTCTGCGTAGTCTAGCTCCAACCACCTCCAACCTAAGCTGCAGTCACACCAGAGTTTGAGAAATTCTGTCATACAGCTCTGCGAAAAGCGGCGGGATTAAACAAGATTATTAGACATTTAAAAAGCGAGCGATTGCTCCATATTTCAAATGTCTGTCCCGAGAGGTCATGTTTTGATCCTCGATTGGTCTTACGCAGTCTAGGGATGCAATTTCGCAGGTCAGAGTTTGAACTTTGCACCGCAGCAACCTGCAAAAGTTGACGCATGACCCTGCGTTTCCGGTCTGACACATTCGCATGCGTATGAGTGGAAGTCTGTGGGAGGAAAAGCCCGGTGTGACTGCAGCTTTACACCTACTTAATAGTCTCTAGTAGTGTTGAACACCTTGATTAGTTGGATCAGCTGTGTTTGATTAGGGTTGGAGCAAAACTGTGCAGAACTGCAGCCCTCCAGGAAACCAGTTTAAGACCTATGATTTACATACTGCAGACAGAATACCCAAATTGTAGGACAATAACTTTGAGTTTATTTAAACAATAATAATTCTGGAGTAATTTCTGGACACTTAAAGCACTTTTCACACATTGGGGGAATCTCCTTATCCACCACCAAATAGTTGGTAAATTATTATACTATTATTATTATTATTATTATACATCTCTTCATCAAACCCAGATTAGAGATTTCTTTCAGATATATAAATAAAGTTATATATATATATATATATATATATATATATATATACACACACACACACACACACACACACACACACACACACACACACACACACACACACACACACACACACAAAATAAGCACATCACATCATGGCATATATATATATATATATATATATATATATATATATATATATATATATATATATATATATATATATATATATATATATATATATATGTATATATGTATATATATATATGCCATGATGTGATGTGCTTATTTTGTTGTTTAAAAACTAAAACAATTAAATTTACCGAATTGACTTTAATCACACTTTTTTAACACAATTTTTTTTACTATTAATAAAACCTTAACTAAGATGTGTAGCTCAATAAACTCCCAATTTGTTACTTATTATTTGATAGAAAGGTAGTAGTTGGGTTTAGGCATTGGGTAGTAGAACTACTGTAAAACTTTAAATACTTTATACATACTAATAAACAGCCAATATCTTATTAATAGGGAGGCAATAAGCCAATAGTTAATTGTGGGAACTGGTACATGAACTAAAATATTGATATCACTTTATATGCATATAAAGCACATTCAATTCAAGTAATCAATCATGCAATTAACTGATTAAGTATAATGTTTGGTCATGGTCTCTGCTTTCTTATAAATAGACACAGTTACTGACCAATAGGACTAGAGGTATTGATTTTATAAACAATATTTAAGACACAACAACCTGTTTTACATTAGTTTTTCATCTTATATAATGTAATTTAAAACCAAAATGCACAGTACTGAATACATAAACTATATTGATCTTTGTATCAGTCCAAATCACTCTTTCTTGCTTTTCCTCTTTGATCTAAAGCAGCAGCGCATGATGAAGAATTTGGCCATTTTAAAGCAGATGTAGAGGACTAGAGTCAGGACAGTGGTAAGAAAAGCGAACACATCCAGACAGTGGTACTGATACCAGGTCAGGTTGTGGGCCTCCACACGCAGGTGTTTTGCACCTTTATTGCGCATGACGAACTCAATCCAGAACACAGACTCATCTAAAGGCTTCATTGGTCTGTCGTGATGAATCCTGGACAAACGCATTGCATTCTCTTTATACCTGCGGAGATGAAGAGAAATGCTGTAATAATTTGCATACTGTTAATATGTGAATATTAATGAAAGTCAACTCACGAGGGGTCATTAATGACAGCATTAAGTCCATCCACCAGGTCTTGAGTCTGCATGCTGTTAAAGTCCATGACAACAGCAGCACCTCTGGTCTTCATATGAACCATATTATCAGGCTGGTCACCAAACAAGGGGATGCCGACCATCGGGACACCATGATATATGGCCTCATATATGCCATTAGTGCCCCCGTGAGTGATGAACGCTCTGGTTTTGGGGTGACCTGAATCAGGAGACAAACAAAAAAAATGTAACAGCAGAGGGCGCTAGAGTTTCATTTAAAAGAACCTAAATGTAGTATTATATCACAAATTCATGGCATTGACTTTCCATTGGATCCAGAGATACATTTATTGGGCAATTATACAAATTCTAACCTCCAGCATAATCATGCTATTAAGCTTACTGAAATGTTAGTCACAATAGCTAAAACACTGTGTTGCTTTGAGATGGAAAACAGACATTGATGTACCAATTGGACTGTGGGTCTCAGACGTCTGCAACTGTGTAGCACTGGAGAAGATCATATTCTTTGAGAGGAAGGAGTGATTTATTTAAATAGATTTGGAATCCATTTTTGATTTATATAAAAACAATACATGATTCGATTTGACAAATATTTCCCCCATTGGTTTGCTGTACCTCCTCCCTTTTTTATCATTATTATTTTATGTATTTTTAATAATGTGTATGTATTACTGTAATTTATTTGTTGCTTAGTTTTGATGTTCTTGAGTTTAGAATTGGCACTCCTACCAATGTTAACCAGTGTAATGACAGTAAACACTCTGTGAATGATCACATTCAAGTGTCTCCCTCCCAGGTGTGCAACCTTGGGGTACTTTTTGATGTGCAGCTCAGTTTTAACTCACACTTTAAACACTTGAATAAAATAGCCTTCTTGTACCTGCGTAACATTGCGCAGATTAGACCTTTTCTATCACGGCCTGATGCGGAAAGGCTTATCCATGCCTTTATCACGTCACGTCTCTGAGACGTTTACAGTATATTCAAAATTCCGCTGCACGGGTTACAGGGTTGGGCATCGTTTGGGGTTATTTTGATACCGGTGCTAAATCAATAATTAAAAAAAAATAAATAATTTTTTTTTAAAAATTTAATTAAAAAAAAAAAAAAAAAAATATATATATATATATATATATATATATATATATATATATATATATATTAATCATTATAATTGAACAATATAAATATATATTTATAATAAGTTTAAAGTAAGGATCATATTTTATATGGCTCAGTGGCTAAACAACACTTCCATGCATACAATACAAACTCATTCATACACAACAACACAGTCTACATAAGCTTTGCGTGGCTAAAATAGGTTTAAAATCTACCTGTCTAAAAGAAAAGCTTCAGTGGTGTCATCCTTCAGATCGTCATTTGGAACTGCATAACTTCATTTCCCTCCAGCGTGCAAAAGTAACTCTGATATTGATTCAAGGTTAAGAAAGTTTTGATTCTGCATTTTTGGCAGTAGCCCTATTAGAAACAATCTTTCTTTTCATGCATTCAAGGCCACTTTTCTTTCAGAAAGAAGTTCAGGGTGATGCAGAGTTTGCCTAATCTCTCTGTCAGCGGTAGATCCGTGCTTCACGGGTGTGCACGAATGACGTATCTGTTTGCTTAAAGAGGCTGCGCAGAAATTCAAATTCAAATTTCTTGACAGTTAGAGATGCCTGTCGTATTTGAGTTATTCGTCGGTCCTACAATATTTAATTGGATGAACATATTTTAGTTTTACGCCTTATCGAGAATATAAAAATGCATCTAAATACATCTAGATTATTTACTTTAATCATTACTATTTGAAATACTATTTGAATTGGATGAACTAACTTGGTTGTGATGTATGAGTGTGAGTGAATGTGAGAGTTTATGGGCGTTTCCCAGTACTGGGTTGCAGCTGGAAGGGCATCCGCTGCGTAAAACAGATGCAGGAATAGTTCATTCCGCTGTGGTGACCCCTAATAAATAAAGGACTAAGCCGAAGGAAAATGAGAGAATAAAAATGAATTAAATACAATATATTAAATCTCAAATGATAATACAAACCTAATAAGTCATTCTGAGGCATCCACTCAAAGATTCTAGTGTTTTCACCAAGAGTATCTGGTTTCTCTCCACCGTATCGCCACAAGACCTGTAAAAACATTCACAAAACACTTTTAAAGTTTAATTTTCTTCTTCCAATGAAATGATCAAAATGCAGGGTTCATAATATATAGAAGGAAAATAAATATGTAAGGTAGAACTGTTACCTTCTGTGGTATCTGTGCCAGTGCGGAGGCGATTGTATTGCTCCTTTCTTTGGTAATGTTGTTTACCATGGATCCCAGTGTGAAGACCACAATCCCATCATCCCCTGAGCTCTGCACAAACTCCTCTAAATCCTACACAAAGAAAGTTCAGTACTTACTCTTACTGCCACAATGAGTTAAACATCAAGCAGGGTCTGACTGGTCATAGGAAGCACCAGGACATTTCCCTGTGGCCTGATGGTCAAAGAATCCAACCCAGGCTCATTCTGAAAACAGACGTTTTTGGAGATTGCGAAATACAGTACATCCCTGCGGCACGTTTTTCTGCAGTTTTTATTGTCGCTGCTGTGTACGCTTTTTGAGATCTCAAATTTCTCTTGCGAGTGCCATTCGCACCTGCTGTTCTCGCGTAAACCCACCAGAGGCCGCTGTCGACAGACTGTTTGACAGACTTTTTGACTGACTGAGCGAACAATCGACTGACTTACCCTCTCGCTTCCCTAAACCCAACCAATTTTATCGATTGACCTGCCCACCCACTTCCTGAAACACAACCATCATGTTTTAAAGGCAATCCAAAAAAAGAAAAGCCCTCATCTGATTTTTTCTTTTACATTTTCAGATTTTACCACATTCTCACCCTGTTATTTACTTGTTTATAATTTTTTTTTGGAATCTGTTTTTGTCTTAAGCCTAGTTCACACTACAGGATTTTAAACATCAGCAGATCGCTGTGCCGTTCACACTACATGACCTTACTTTGTGTCTTTTAATCTCTGAGGTGTTCACACTACGCAACACTCCGTGAATGATCCACAAGAGGGGGGTCACACACTACATGATCTGACAACACCTCATTCCCTATCAGTTCATTCAAGCTACCAATCCACAGCCAATGAAATTTTGAGGGAGGAGTCGTCAGAAAAAGCTGAACACTATTGGCTGCTTGTGTGCTGATGACATCACTGACAGCGTTTCAAGCTTTGGAGAAAGCATTTAAAAACATCGTCAAATCAGCTGATTTATCAGCGGATTAATCACTCATCTGCAGGTTCCAGTGGATAGATACACAGAGAGTTTTTAATTTTTGTAATTGTATAACTCTTTGAAATAAAACTAACATATTTATAACACCCTGCCGTTTTCTAACTATCAGTGTATTTCTTTCTGACATTGTTATTTTTTTTATTACAAAACAGTAAAGAACTGAGCATTTCTGCCTTAAATTACCATATTGGTTAAAATGACTGCATGCATGTCTGATACTTTTCACTGTGACTTTAAATATGTGTGCATTTTCTTGCCTAGCAACTTCCTGCTAACATAAACAAAACTTTCTGATGGCAACATCAATTTACATAAAACATCAATTTACTTTACTAAAAACTGCATATTCTGTGCTGTAAAATAGCTCCTGTTTGAAAGTGAAAATGAAAGGCAAGACCTTTAAGTGTTTTAGTATCTTAACTACATATTTATAGGCTGTATTACAAAAAAAAAGATTATATTTTTAGGGTAATTTAGGGTCATTAAATATGATGCCAGACATTCAAAGCTTAATTTTAATATCTCAATAATAGCTTTGAATGTAAATATGTTGTGACAATATGGCGTTTTATATGAGAACGGTCAGAATCAGCACTTTTTTCAATAACTTTCCCAGGAAAAAGCACTGTCCCATCCCGTCCCTGATATTGTAACAGCGTAAATGATCATATGCATTTGTATATATTGGAAAAATATATTTTTTACCAAGAAGGTCCAAACAGATTCCAAAGGCAGATACTGATAAGATCAGGGCCTGGCTAACATGTGGACTTTTTTTTGTTGTGGTCACATGTTGATTGGTCAGTTTGTATGTCTCAGTATTTGGGCTTTGGTCACATTGTCGAGAAAGATACAAAATAGGTATGTGCACGGTACAGCAGTGGGTAGCACAATTGCCTCACAGCAAGAAGGTCGCTGGTTGAAGTCCCGGCTAAGTCAGTTGGCATTTCTGTGTGGAGTTTGCATGTTCTCTCCGTGATCACGTGAGTTTCCTCCAGAAGCTCTTGCTTCCCCCACAAGTCCAAAAACATGTGGTATAAGTGAATCAACACTTAATTGCTCCAAATTAAAATACAATACAATCACATAAAAGCAACGCTCTCCCACATTTTCAGCTATTAAAAGCTATTATTTCCGTGTTTGGCATTAGATTGCAGAAGGATGGTTTGACTAGAAATGCAGTTTTTCACCATCATACTGATAACTTTTTAATCATACAGCAGAACTACAGTTCAAACCGCTGTAGTTAAAAACCCATTCTTACAACATCAAGCACTACCTCATCTAGTACTGTACTAACAATGGACCCTTTTCACAAGACTGTCAGCATCTTTAATCCTTTAAAGTTTTTAATATTTAGATTTTAAAAAAAGCAACGTATGTATTACTGTATATCATCTTTGCATCAAATTACAAAAATAAATGAATGCTTTTGTGAGGCGTTTAAAATGCAGCGTCTATGGGACAGGACAGTAAATTTGACGTTGCTCTCTCTTCTGGCTGCCGTTTTCAGTCTCACACTATTTTATTCTTTTTTCTGAAAGTCTTGATAACACCATCGTCAAGATCTTCTTTTATTAAATCAGCAAATAGGATTGTAAAAAATTATTTATTGTACTCTCCCATTAACTGCGCTCTAAGTTTAAAAAACTATCATGACTTTGGCTTTTGAAAAACCCGGAAATGTGCAAAGGGTCTATACTCGTAAATTAATTTTAAACAAGTCATTTAATCATACTTGTAGTATAATAATAAATATAATTATTCCTAGAAAAAAAGTTGATGCATGTGACCGTGTTTATCAGTGACTAAATAATATGATCTGTAATTACTGATCCAACACTACCAACTCTGGGAACAAAGGTACATAGTTTGTCACTTTTCATGGAAAAGATGTGAAAGGTAAAGTTTTTGCTGTCATTATCTGTTTTGTTAGCTCTTATCTAGACTGGACACCAAAGTTGGTATCTCAAAGTTACAATACAAGGCAGAAATCATCACTACACACAGCACCGGTGTGGTGTGGCTTAACTTACAGTGTGTGTGTGTGTGTGTGTGTGTGTGTGTGTGTGTGTGAAAACTGGAATTTTTATTACTTGTATTTCGTTATGTACTGACAACTAAAAAAGCATCATTCCCTCATAGCAAACTAACAGTAAGGGGCGTGTGGTTAAGAATATTATGGCTAAAGCATCAAACTGACGTCAACAGAGAAGCACAGCCACTGCAAACATGGAAGCAAATGGTCAGATTTTAACATTTGTTACAGTCGATTAACTTGCACGCATTTATCATCACCTAAAGACTAACAATTTACATGCAAAATAAACACTTAAATTCTTGATTTTTGCACAGACATAAGGCTCCTTCAAACCGGGGCGCTTTTCATTTGCGTTTATCGTCAGTTAGGGCCAGTTGGTATTTCTGTGTGGAGTTTGCATGTTCTTAAGTATATCTTACTTAGGGCCCTATCATACACCCGGTGCAATGCGGTGCAAGGCGTGACACAAATGTTGTTTGTTAGTTTCAGCTCGGCGCTTGACGTTTTGAGCCATGCTGTATAAACAGCAAATGCATTTGCACTTACATGTGCACCCATAGGCGTTCTGGTCCTAAAAAGGAGGCGTGTTGAGGCGCATTGCTGGCGCGTTGCTATTTTGAGGAACTATAATAGGCTGCACAATAGACCGGATCAAAGCAGGCCTATAGTTTATCGTGGAGTGCGTTAGTTGTGCGCCTTGCTTAAACATTGCTTAATAGCCTACACATAGGGTGTATAAGCAAATATATTTACAATGAAAAAAAATAAAGGATTAAAATATTACAACAATTATAATTTTGTAGCCTACATAAATATAAAAAACACTGCCTTCATGCCTTCTTCATCTCCGGGGGCTTTTAAGTTTATTCATGACAATTTGCTTTTGTATAATGTTATTATTATTAGCAGTATTATTTATTATATCCATATTTATATTTGTTTTATTAAAAACAAGCTTACATTTGTCCACCTGCAGGTTTTAGACCATATGGGGCACAGCATGTGTTTTAGGATATAACTTGAACACACTTCGTTATTATTGTTCATTTATTCGTTTGCTGGAAATTAGAACTGAATTCAGAAATAGTTTTGAAGCAAATCTTTGGGCTTAACAAGCGAAATTAATTATGTATAGGCTAATGGATGTCTGTGCGTACAAAACGTTTCCCTATCCACCAAAGTGAGAATGATAGTGAAAGTAAATAATGAGGCTCATCTCTAATTCTCGCGCTGCAGATGCTCTCTTTAACTGTTTTCTCTCTAGTGAAGAGTTTAGTTTTGCCACTTACAAAGTCTGGCATGTAAATAGCAAATGCACTATGGTGCGACTCTTAAAGGGAATGGGAGACGAGACTCTGATTGGTTTATTCTCAAAACACACCTATAACATATTAAGAGAATAAGCTCAACCCTGTGAAACCATGCGCCACGACGTAAAGTGTAATTTTCCGTCCTTAAAATAGCAAAAGTGGATTCTAACACACCCATAATGCTTTTGCACCCTGTGCTTTGCACTTTGCGCATGGATCGTCAAAATAGAGCCCTGTTATGATTTATGTTTTTTTTTCTGTATTTTTTTCACCCTCCTCTCCGTTTGCTCAACCCTTAGGTTTCCTATTGGTTTATTATTCTGTTTATGATCATTATGACGTTCTCCGGTTCCACCAATCCCAGGACGAGCCGCAAGGATTTAAAGCCCTGACAGACCAGTGTGTGTGTGCGCTCTGCCTTTGCGTACTCTTTGTGCTCCACGCAATTTGTTTGTGCAAATGCTTCATCTATTTAGTGATTTATCTCAGTTACTGTGGTAATTCGAGTTTGCTTGTGTCGTAAATTTTGACTTATCAATTAGAAATTATCAGACCAGAGGTTTTGAATATCAGAAAATAGACTTTATTCTCCATAATAAAGCCGAGAAAGAGCAGAGCAGACCCCAGAGCATTCTGAAGTCTCTCCTGGACACCTTCCAAAGTCTCTCCTACTCCTTCTGAAGTATCTGTGTTTGTTACAATTTTTATACAGGATTATTTGACACACCCCTAAGTCTCTTTTTAACTCTTGACCATTTTTGAATAGGTTTCTAGTCTAAGGGGTCCTGCTATTCTTGGCTCTCAGCCCACTAGCTCATGTCAACAGAGATGTTACAGGTCTGTGTCAGCAACTGTTTTGACACCAAAGTTCTCTCTCCATAGATGCAACTTATGCAAAGGAACTAAGTGTTTACATACATTGTCATGATAGGATAATAACTTGATAATATGTTACTCATTCTAACTTCTGACACATATAGCTTCATAGAAGTATTTAACATATATGATCAGTGCTTTACATATTCAGTTATTCTACAAAATCAGTCACTCAGCCTTCTCCTAGTGTTGCTCCTGTGCAGGCATTCTCATCTTACACAGACATATCACTGTATTTTTAACACACGCTGGCATGTTTGCTGCAAACACTACATACATTTTGTGAAGAGAAAATTAACTGCTTTACACTTAGAAAATACTTCACACTGAGAGAATAGAAATCTTCTTCACTTGTTGAACTTCATTGGCTTTAAGTAACATAATATGATGGTTGTTGTGTGATTCTAAACTAAGCTTGGACGGATTTATCCGGTTTGTTTTGTTTTAGTTTAGATTGATGTTTTGTTAGATTAGTTTGAGTGTTTTGCCACCCGTGTATTTTTGAGTTTTGTAGTTTAATTAGTTTAGTTCGGGTGTCGTATACACTGAAGATCTCGGTTTTTATTTGTGTTTCTTTTTGACGCCTAGTTTAGACTTTATATTTAAGGATTGTTTTGTTTTGTTAATTTCTTTGATTTGGCTTACACTCGTTGTTTTTGTTTAAAGATAATAATTATAAATGTTTATTTCTTTTTTTCCCCAGTTATTATGGTTACATGTTTCAATTATTGAGTAAAAAGCCTAAATAAAAGTAAATGATCCTTGCCTCATTCTTGATCTGTCGCACACATTACACCTGTCTCACTTAAATGTTACAGCATCCCACTTTAACATCATAAACACATAACAAGCCCATAGAGTTCAACAGAAAAAAGAAACTCAGTCATGTTTGAAACAAGTGGAGGAGGAGTAAATGGAGATAAGATCTTTCAATTTTTTGGTGACCTATGAGTTTAAAAGCAGAGGTGCACCTTGGGTAATGGCTTGGCAGGGGTGCAATGAATCCCTCCGATGAATTTAAAGTTGGGTAGGAATGGCCGCGGAAACTCAAAATCCCAGTAGGTTCTGATTAACCAGATATCGGCTTTACCCATCATCTCACAATAGGAAGTAGGTCGCCCTGCAATGAAAGAACATCTTTAAAAAAATACAGAGATTCTTTATAGGTAGTTTGATCTTTAACTCACCTAAATATTCAGTGTAGTAGTTGTCAATTGTTTTCCACAGACTAATAGCCAGAGCATCTTGAGAGAGGTAGAACAGCATATTGAGGATTCACTCAGTAAAGCTCATCTTGTCAGTAAGTTTGCTTATGGCTCCAGGAACATATGATAGTGGAGCTGGTATCTGACCACACATGCGCTCCATAGTGTGAGCAATGGAGAATCTTAATGTGTAAACCAAGGGAATGTCCAGCTTTTCAGCTAACACCTCACTGCATGGAAAAATCGGATCAGCCAGCATGACATCAAACTTCTCTTGCAGCAATTTGTCCATCAGTTCTGGGGATTTCAGAGCACCGTTGCAGTAAGCAAGACACAGTTGTTGATCTTTAGAAATAAGCTGGTATAATCTGATATGAATTTGCAGCAAGTTTAACCGATCCATCTCATACATGGAGAAATGTAAGAAATCATTTAAGGAATCTTGCATGTCCTGTGTAGATTTGGACACGCTGAAGTGCTGGTAGGAGAAGCGATCTGATTCTTTTTCATGCATGAAGATTGAAGCATCAGGAACCAACACTGTAACATTGTGTCCCCTGTCAATCAACGTTTCCAAAACAATCTTCAGATTAATCCAGTGGCTGCCCTCTGTAAACCAAACCAAAACATTCCCACATTCTCCAGCGCTGAACGCAGTGAGAAGAGCAAGAACACACACTACGAGTCTCATGTTTGTCAGCAATACTGTAGGTTGTGTGTTCATTGAGTGTCCTGCAACCATATAACATGTACTGTATAATTATTAACCAAGAAGAGCAAAGTCAAAGTTAATTAATAACTGTTCAGGTAAAAGGTATACAGCATATACATCTAAGTATTTTAAAGGTGCCATGTAGAGCATTGATTCAATATGTTAAATTGTTCTCTGAAGTCTACATAGTACAGTAGGTATGTGGTTTGGATAAAATCCAGCCTTAATGCATATCAGTGGGATAATAATACATACACTCTTAATAAATATACACGGACAAACCCAACCACAGAGTTAAAGCTGAGTAATTTAATTTAAAGATTTAAAGCAGTGGTTGGGTTTGCCCATATTTTACCCAAATTCATAGTTTAAACAACCCAGCATTTATAGTGTGCATTCATCAACATCTAAAAAAATACTGGGTTGTTTTAACCCAATGTTGGGTCAAATATGGACAAACCAAATGTTTTTTATTTTAACTAAATTTACATTAAAGTTTTAAAGTTCACTTGCCTAAAGTTTTTTATCCCATGGTTGGGTTTGTCCATATTTAACTCAAAGTTGGGTTGTAACAACCCAGCATTTTTAAGTAGTGTACCAAAGATTTAAACATCATCTATTTCTGTGAAAAAAAGCATTCTTCCTCTAATCCAAAACATTCAAACTCTTCTTGCTTAGAGTTAAAGCTGAGTTACAAAATGACATTTAAAGATTTAACCCAGTGTTCGGATTTCTTCAACAACCCAACATTTTTACAGTGTATTCAGCAACATCTAAATAAAATGACACTACTCAAAAACAAAAACAAAATTGGGTAAAATATGGACAAATCCAATGTTGGGTTAATTTTTTCAATTAAATTTACATTAGCTTTTAGGGTGTCACGGTGGTGCAGTGTCACTGGTTTGAGCCCCGGCTGGGTCAGTTGAATTTTCTGTGTGGAGTTTGCATGTTCTCCCCGTGTTCGCAAAGGTTTCCTTTGGGTGCTCTGGTTTCCCCCACAGTCCCAACGTTGACAAAACATGGACAAACCCAATGTTCAGTTCTTTTCTTTATTTATTTAATTTACTTTATAGTTTTTAATCCCATGGTTGGGTTTGTCCATATTTGACCCAATGTTGGTACCACCATTTATTTCTCTTTATTAAAAAAAAATAAATTATATTCAAAGGATCCCACTCTTCCTCTAATCCAAAACATTGGAACTCTTTCTACTCTGTGAGTTACAGCATGTTGCTTAGAGTTAAAGCTGAGTTACAAAAATTATATTTAAAGATTTAACCCAGTGGTCGGGTTTGTCCAACAAACCAGCATTTTTACAAAGTATTAATCCAAAAACTAAAAAAAAATACAATACACAAACAGAAAAAAATGCTGGATTGCTTAAACCCAATGTTGGGTCAATTTTGGCCAAACCCAATGTTTGAAGAATTTTTCAATAAAATTTACATCACAGTTTTTATCCCACTGTTGGGTTTGTCCATATTTGACCCAGCATAGGGTTGAAAAACAACCCATGATTTTTTTAAGAGTGCACCGAACATTTAAACGCCATCTGATACTGTTTATTTAAAGGAAAGTATATTCAGAGGATGCCACTCTTCTAATTCAAAACATTCACACTCTTCCTCCTCTGCCAGTTACATCATGTTGCTTAGAGTTAAAGCTGAGTTACAAAACTTACATTTAAAGATTTATCCCAGTGGTCAGGTTTGTCTAACAACCCAGCATTTTTAGAGTGTATTCATCAACATCTAAATAAAATGACAATATACAAACACAAAAAACGCTGGGCTGTTTTAACCCAAAGTTTGGTCAAATATGGAAAAACTCAATGTACATAGGGTTCTTTTTTTAAATGTAATTTACATTACAGTTTTTATTTCATGCTAGGGTTTGTCCATATTTGACCCAACATTTTTTTAAAGTGTAGTACCAAAGAAATAACACCATCGATTTCTGTTTATTTAAAAAAAAAAAAAGAAGTATATTCAAAGGATCCCACTCTTCCTCTAATCCAAAACATTCCCACTCTTCCTCCTCTGTGACTTACAGCATGTTGCTTAGAGTTAAAGCTGAGTTACAAAACTTACATTTAAAGATTTAACCCAGTGGTCGGGTTTGTCCAACAACCCAACATTTTAAGACTGTATTCATCAACATCTAAAACAAATTACAATACACAAAAAATGCTGTTTTTTTTTAACCCAACATTGGGTCAAACATGGACAAACCTAATGTTGGGTTAATTTTTTTAATTAAATTTAAATGATAGTTTTTATCCCACAGTTGGGTTTGTCCATATAGGACCCAGCATTGGGTTAAAACAACCCAGCGTTTTTCTAGAGTGTACCAAGCATTTAAACACCATCTTTTTCTTTTTTAAATAAAAATATATTTAGAGGATCTCACTCGCCCTCTAATCCAAAACAATTACACTCTTCCTCCTCTGCCAGTTACAGCATGTTGCTTAGAGTTACAAAACTTACATTTAAAGATTTATCCCAGTGGTCAGGTTTGTCTAACAACCCAGCATTTTTAGAGTGTATTCATCAACATCTAAATAAAATGACAATACACAAACACAAAAATGTTGGGTTATTTTAACCCAGAGTTTGGTCAAAGAAGGAAAAACTCAATGTACATAGGGTTCTTTTTTTATGTAATTTACAACACAGTTTTTATCCCATGATTGGGTTTGTCCATATTTGACCCAGCATTGGGTGAAATCAACCCAACATTTATTTAGATTGTAGTACCAAAGATTTAACACAATCGATTTCTGTTTATTTAAAAAATAAATAAGTAAAGTATATTCAAAGGATCCCACTCTTCCTCTAATCCAAAACATGCACTCTTCTTGCTTGGCGTAAAAGCTGAGTTACAAAAATTACATTTAAAGTAATTTGTCCAGTTTGTCCAACAACCCAGCATTTTAGAGTGTATTACTTAACATCAAAAAAATTACAACACACAAAAAAATGCTGGGTTGTTTTAACCCAACATTGGGTCAAACATTGAAAAATCTAATATTGGGTTCATTTTTTCATTTAAATTTACATTATAGTTTTTATCCCACAGTTTGTCCATATTTGATCCAGCATTGGGTTAAAACAACCCAGCATTTTTCTAGAGTGCATTTAGGCACCATCTATTTCTCTTTAAAAAAAGAGTTACAGCATGTTGCTTATAGAGTTAGAGCTGAGTTACAAAACTTACATTTAAAGATTTAACCCAGTCGTCAGGTTTGTCCATAAACCCAGCATTTTTAGAGTGTACTCATCAACATCTAAATAAAATGCACGTAAAAAATGGGTTGACTTTTCAACCCAACATAGATCAAACATGGACAAACCTAACATTGGGTTACAATTTTTAAAAATAATGTACATTACGGTTTTTATCCCAGTGTTCGGTTTGGTCCAACAACCCAGTATTTTTAAAGTGTATTCACAAACATCTTTAAAAAATTACACTACACACAAAAAAAAGCTGGGTTGTTTTAACATTGGGTCAAATATGGACAAACCCAATGTTGGGTTAATTTCTTTAAATTTAATTTACATCACAGTTTTAATCCCACAGTTCGGTTTGCCCATATTTGACTCATCATTGGGTTAAAACAACCCAGCATTTTTTTAGAATGTACCAAACATTTAAACGCCATCTATTGCTGTTTATTTAAAGGAAAGTATATTCCGAGGATCCCACTCTTCTTCTAATCCAAAACATTCACACTCTTCCTCCTCTGCGAGTTACAGCATGTTGCTTTTTGAAGTATAGATTTGCCTAATCTGATTACAGATCATTGGATTGTCAGTGTGCCATAAAACAGTGCTCTAGAGGAGAGAGACGCTGTCCAGCCAACAAAAGACGAGCGTCCAGCCAGCAATGCACCTGCCTGCACTCTTAACCAGCTCTCCTGTCTCGCAAAGATAACACTTTCTACCCTCTCTTCCAGCTTTTTTTTTCTTTTTCGGTGGGAGGGGGGCAAATATAGGGATTTATGACCCTTCTAGCCACCCCCCCACCTTTTTTTTGGAGACGGGCTCAGACAGAGTGGGAAAAAATTTAGCATGCAGCATGTGAATTGGTTTAGACGTATAAAGAGATCAGGGCTAATCGGTTGGCACCAGAGACACTTGTGCATTCAGCCTGGTTTTCGGGGAGGGCAGCGGAGCGCGGGTGTGAATGCATGTGAGAGACGGAGGGAGGGAGAAGCCCATGATCTGCTCCATTGTGATAACAGATTTAGGCAGAGTGTGGGGTTTCGATAAGGAAAAGCACACTCAAAAGAAGATTAGCCGCATACTTGGAGTAGAACAGTGAAGGAGAGGAGGACACTTGGAGAGAAGAGGAGATGCGGGGATGCGTTAGTCATGCTGAAATAGATTCTGCTTATTATTATTTGTTATTAATTGCGCTCTTTTCATCACTTTGACACTTTGCTTTAAATATCAGTTGCTGTGTAACAACATGACTCGTGCATGAGCATTTGGCTCGGTGCATTATTGAAGAAAAATACGTGCGCTTGGCTGAAAATATCAAATGTTGACAAATGTTTGACTGGATGGATTCAGTGTCAGAGTTGTGATTGTGCTCATATGTGAGTTTCAGTTAAATCGGTCAGATTAAAGTGTGCAAAATATGGATTGTGTCTTTGCATGTACTATAATGAGGACAAAATGTTGCAGGATTTACTTTGAAAAATATTTAATTTAGAAAAGACAATTAATTATGATCTTTTCACCGTTTTGACGTTTGATCTATACAGCTGAAGTGAGAATAATTAGCCCCCTTTTAATATATATTTTTTAAAATATATTTGCCAAATGATGTTTAACAGAGCAAGGAAATTTTCACAGTGTCTAATAATGTATTTTTCTTCTGAAGAAAGTCTCATTTATTTTATTTTGGCTAGAATAAAAGCAGTTTTTAATATTTTTTTAAACCATTTTAAATGCTAAAAGCTAAAAATTATTAGCCTCTTTAAGCTATTTTTTTCCGATAGTCTACAGAACAAACCATCGCTATACAATAACTTGCCTAACCTGCCTAGTTAACCTAACTAACCTAGCTAAGCCTTTAAATGTCACTTTAAACTGTATAGAAGTGTATGTATTTATTATACATACATATACACACACATATATATATATATAGACACACAGTTGAAGTCAGAATTATTAGCCCCCTTCAAATTTACGAATATATTTAAATATTTTCCAAATGATGTTTAACAGAGCAAGGAAATTTTCACAGTATGTCTGATAATATTTTATCTTCTGGAAACAATCTAATTTGTTTTATTTTAGCTAGAATAAAAACAGTTTTATAATTAACACTATTTTGGGGACAAAATTATTAGCCCCTTTAAGCTATATTTTTTTCTCGACAATCTACAGAACAAACAATCGTTATCCAGTAACTAGCCGAATTACCCTAACCTGCTTAGTTAACCTAATTAACCTAGTTAAGCCTTTAAATGTCACTTTAAGCTGTAGAGAAGTGTCTTGAAAAATATCTAGTCAAATATTATTTACTGTCATCATGGCAAAGATAAAATAATGGCTAATAATACAGTAACATTATATAAGCAGTTGAAAATGACTACTAAACTATTTAAACTATTAAAAATGACTCAATATTGGTGGTTTATGCAAGTGTCCTGTATTAATGCTAAATAATATTAATCATATTCATACATCAAACATTACAATAATATAGTAACATTCATTCATTCATTTTCCTTTGGCTTAGTTCCTTATTTATCAGAGCTCGACAAAGCGGAATGAACCACCAACTATCCCAGCATATGTTTTACGCAGCGGATGCATTTCCAGCCACAATCCAGTACTGGGAAACACCCCACACCCATTTACACACACACTCATACACAACAGCCAATTTTGTTTACCCAATTCACCTACAGCGCATGTGTTTGGACTGTGGGGGAAACCAGAGCACATGGAGGAAACCCACGCCAACATACAAACTCCACACAGAAATGCCAATCGGTCCAGCCAGGACTCGAATCAGCGACCTTCTTGCTGTGAGGACACAGTGCTAACCACTGAGCCACTGTGCCACCTAATATAGTAACAATATGCAATAATATAGCTACAGTGTGAAACAAATAATACAAAAATCAGCTTCAGCTGTGCAACAATACAGTAAATATGCTTTTGTTTGACAACAGAGGCTTACGTATGCACACATTCAAGGTTATGATGCATAGTGTGTGTTGTTTGAACACCGGCCCTAAACTGGAAGGGATCGTGTAAATAAGCATTAGTTGCCATTCACACACTCGCCAGATGAGCTTTGCTTTTCTGTGTTTGGTTTTAGGATCACGACGTTGGCTTTTCTGTGTTTGCAGCAGTGATTGTGTGTTGTGTTAAATGGTGATTAGTACAGAGGGCGGTCAGCTGCTGGCTTCTTATGGCTAAAGTGAAACAAACAGCTGCCCACAAACAAAGTCTTCTTTTTCTGTGGTGAAGATATTAACACAGCTAAACAGAATTTAAATTACCTAATTAATCAAACTAATTAATTAAATGTACTTTTAAGGTCAATATGCTGTACAGTTGAGGCCATTCTGTTAAGTTTGATTTCTTTTTTCAGATTTTTTTTGTAGTGCTGTTTACACAACACAACAGTTTTAATAACCTCTAATTTCTTTTGTCTTTGCCATGATGACAGTACATTATAGTTTGCAAGACATTTGTGTTTTGCTTACAGTTCAATTTAAAAGCTTAACTAGGTTAACTACAGTAGGCAAGTTGGGTTAATTAGTCATGGACAACCATGGTTTGTTCTGCAGCCAACTGAAAATAACAATTTATTAAGAGAGCTAATAATATTGACCTTAATATATAAGATTTACCTTTATTTATTCCAGCCAAACTAATAGGAAACACTGTGACAAAATTCCCTGCTCTTGGACATCACTTCAGAATTTATTTGGAAAAACACTTACATTTAACATGAGGGCTGATCATTTTGTCATAGCTGTATATTTAGACTAAACCATGTTCAATTGCAGGTTTTTTTTTTTCACAGTTCAAAACAAAAAAGGAGGGTTTGAAGCATTAACTCTGCAAAAAAATGTCTTGTTTCTAGTGCAAATACCTAAAAATATTTAAAGCAAGCATCATTTTCTAGACAAGCAAAAGATATTGTTTTGTTTCCAGAAATAATTCGAAAAAATGAAGTGAGTTTTTTCCTAAAACAAGCAAAATATTCAAGTTTTGGCTTTGAAATAAGATTACTTTTCTTACCCCGTTGGCAGATTATTTAGTTTGTTTTAAGGAAAAACTCATTTAATTTTGGCATTTTATTTCTAAAATCAAGGCAATATTTTGTATTGTCCTTGTCCTAAAATCCTTCTCGATTTAAGACTTTGATATTTGGACTATCAGACAAAGAGAAAACCTCCAAGAAAATATATATATTTTTTGCAGTGAAAACAAAAGCGCAATATTTATTTTCTGATTCTAATAAATGGCCCCTTGGTTTCATTACGTCATGTAAAATATTTGTATGTGTGTGTGTGTGTGTTTGTTAGGTTTTAGGGCTAAATATGAGTGTGTGTATAAATGAGTGTGTGGATGTTTCCCAGAGATGGGTTGCGGCTGAAAGGGCATCCGCTGCGTAAAAACTTGCTGGATAAGTTGGCGGTTCATTCCGCTGTGGCGACCCCAGATTAATAAAGGGACTAAGCCGACAAGAAAATGAATGAATGAATGAATGAATGAATAAATGAATGAATGAAAACATCTGAATGTTCTTAACAGGTTCAGTGAAATTACTTCAGTAAAAAATTGATTTTCCCCTATGTAATCTGCACATTAATAATAACATTTCCCTTGTTAAATATTCAATTACAGATAAAACTCTATTTTATTAGATGCACATTTTAAAATAGACTAAAGCAATGTTCATGTGCAGTGTATTTTATTCTCAGCTCAATACAAAACAAGCATCAAAAACAAAAAAGGGCAAAATATTTTGTTCTGATTCTTCCTAAAATCAAAAATTTTAACCAGGATTCTCACTCACACACTCACACACACTCACACACACACACACACACACACACACACACACACACACACACACACACACACACACACACACACACACACACACACACACACACACACACACACACACACACACACACACACACACACACAGTTAACTGGCATAAAATTTGATTCAAAATAAAATTTAAATATATTTTTTTAATTAAAAAAAAAAAGCGTACGTTCATGCCGTTTTTTATGATTACATAAAAACATCTTATAAAATATATTTCAATATTAATTCAGATTATTTTATTTGATAATATAAAATAGTGATTATTGGAATAATCTTAAGAGTACAAACATAGTACTTTATATTGTTATTATATCTTACATATATATGTAAATTTGAACTACATAAATCTACATTTACTGATATAGGCTATTGGATATAGAATTATAAGCAGTTTATTAAACATTCATTACACACACACACACACACACACACACACACACACACACACACACACACACACACACACACACACACACACACACACACACACACACACACACACACACACACACACAGTTAACTGGCATAAAATTTGATTCAAAATAAAGTAAATGGTCCCTAGGTTTCATTACTTCATGCAAAATATTTGTGTGTGTGTGTGTGTGTGTGTGTTTGTTTGTTAGGTTTTAGGGTAAAATATAAAAACATCTGAATGTAAAAAAAAAATTCTATCAAATCTGCAAATTAGTAATCAGTTTTAAAATATTCAGATAAAAATCAAATTAAGGGAAATCCTAAGACTTCATTTTAATAGATGTACAGTTTAATTGATGCTCTGTATTGTTGTATCTCTGTGCACCTGACTGGTCATTGACGAGCGTGGATTTTGACTCCAGGATGACCTCTGGACCAAAAGTTAAGCTGTGTCCACAATCCCCTCTCCTATGTGGCCTGGACACTTGCAGAGGTCATCGCTGTGGTCAAACAGCGCGCAAACAGACCGTTATCTGACCACGGCATATAAAAGCCAATCAGAATCTTCAGAGCACACCAAACACATGCACACTAATTCACACAAAACAGTCAATTCACAGATTGTCCGAAAGGGCTTTTTAAAACCTTTTATTATCAAACAGACTAATAAATTAAATACAATAAATAATCATTTTCAGGTAACACAATTATCTGATAGGAACGAAAAGATTCTACAACTCGAATGACGAATGCACAAAAATAATCTTTGGCAAAACACGTTTTATATTTGTTAACGCAGAGCAGTTTAAACAGTGACAACATTTCCATTTAATAAATTACAACTTAATGTACAACTGAGCTGAATCCACATTCATAACATAAATATTAAATAAAAACTTTCCCACATAAATTATAAATTCAAATCTGAGGTCGCCTTCAACCTCAAACAAAACATTCTTGAGCGTTCAGGAAATTAAATTAGATGATGGCAAGACACTGCAGCCAAAAACACCTTTTATTATACACCGGTTAATGTTGGACTTTCATAAAGTGCTTTTATTTTTAAGTCTATTGTTAAGAAAATACACTCTAAAGTTTTTCTTTTGTCATATTTTTTCAATTTGTGTCTGTAGTTTTCAACTATAATACATAAATTAAGGCATTTTTTGTTTTGCTTTGCATGCGCTGAGCTGTGAATGTGCACTTCAGCAGCACTTACATGCAGTTAAATTCATGTCATTAATCTGAAGGTTCTTGGAAAGAAAACTGCCCATGCATAATTTGCATATTTACACAAGAATATAGTTTTTTTGTGCTGGAATTGTAAGCAAATGAGTGCATATTTAATTAAGTAACCACTCCTCTTGTCGTACAGAATAAATTTGTAATTCTTAAAGGGATAGTTCACCCAAAAATGAAAATTACCTCATCATTTACTCTCCCTTCATGGGTTTCTTGCTTCTATTGGACACTATATATGCAAGATATTTTAAAGAATTGCTAATAGTTCTGGGCGATGTGGCAAAAATGCAATCTTGAAAATTACTTTCCACATTGAACGATAATGATTTTTATTCCAATATTAATATATCAGTTGTTAATGCTTCCAGATTTAAAAGAGTACCCCAACAATGACCGAAGCCACAAAAATCAGAGGGTCCATTAAATGGCATAACATATTTCCGGATGATACATTTTCAAACATCTCTAATAAAAATCTCAAATATCAACACACTTTTAGATTTAATTGTTGCACATTTCTGCTGTGTGATTGGCTTTTAGATCAATATAGAGTAAAAAAGTCCGGAGTTTATTATTGTTTTTGACACAAATTTGACTGAGATTTGATTTGATATCGTTAATTCGCACAGCCCTATTTGATAGTCCCATTGACATCCATAAGAGGAAGAAAAATAATTGTGAGTTTTCATTTTTGGGTGAACTATCCCTTTAATGCAGTCAATCAATTGGGGAAGTATGACGATATAGTCCAATATTTTTACCCTATTCACCTGCAGTGTCTTGCCTTGATACTTAAAAAGAAGAGATGCTTCCGAAGTGCATCCTTGAGGACGCACACTGATGTTAGGAATAGGAATTCCCGCTCCGTAACACACGACAGCAATTTAAAAGCACCGACTCAGAATTTCCGTTCGTTCCATAATAGAATGGAAGAGATGAGCAATTATGATGTCATGTAGAGAACTTAAACATTCCGGAATCCATCTCCATGGTGACGTAACTTTAAAAATTGTTCCAATCTCACTCTAATGGAATTCTCCCTTCTTCAGAAGCGCACATTGGTTCAGTTCTACCAGGCTTCTGAGCTGTCGCAGCTGGAGCCGGGTGAGGGCGGGTCGGTGTCGCTGGTCCAGGTGCGGTCGGTGCGCAGGTTCTGCATGTTCCCTGTGAGCAGTGTCAGGAGAGCGGCTTGAGAATGAGCGGAGGGTTCGCCCCCTTGACTCTCCAGCAGAGTCACTAGGAAATTGATATAGCGCATGGCCAGTCGCAGGATCTCATTCTTGCTGAGCTTTTTCTCCGGCGGATGCGTGGGAATAAGTTTCCGCAGCTCCGCGAAGGCTGTGTTAACATTATGTTGGCGCCAGCGCTCACGTGTGTTAGTGAACACCTTCCTGGTCATGTTACTGCAGTATTTCTGGTTTAAAAAAATATAATAATTAATTTACAAATAATCTGAATATTCTGCATAAAATTTGGAAGAATCCAGTTAATAGCAACAAGTGCAAACAAATGATATCTTACCAATATCTGAAGTCTTGGAGCTTTATGAATGTTGGTGCATCAGGCACAAATTGCCGAGCATGAAAAAGCAAAAGAGTCCAGTCGGCAGGTGAAGAGCAGCAGCGAGAACAGTGTTTAGAAAGGATTAAACGCTGTCGGATAACAGCAGAAGTAATGAGCTAACATCCGTTCTCTCTCTCTTTCTGTATCTCTGCAGTCCGACGCTCACTGAAGCCTTGAAGAAACTCCTGTGATGGTAAACAGGGTGAAGGGAGAGAGGATGAGGGAGGGGTGGGGGTTTGGCTTGGGCTTCTCATTTTTATAGTCTTGCTGCTGTGTGACGTTGTGAGGATTGAGAGGGGAGGGAATGACTTTTTTTTTTACATCTGCCATTAATGCATTTAAATTGATTCAAATAAATCAAAGCAAATACAAGGAAATCCAGCTTTTGAGCAAATGAACATGTAAAACAAACTGCTGTATTGTTGACTTAAACTGATTTTATTATATTATGATATTATACTAATCATAATATATAGTAATTTATATATATATATATATATATATATATATATATATATATATATATATATATATATATATATATATATATATATTTTTTTTTTTTTAATATATATAAAGTTGCATTTTGTGCTAATATATGTATTAATAATCAATAACCATTTTGTAGTGATAAAAATATTTATCAATTAATTTAAAAATTATAAATATTTTTACAGGGTAATTTTGTATATTTATTTAGTATAGGAAAGGAACTAAATGTATTCGATATTCGAATTATATAAAATGTATTACATGTTTAAATCACTCTAATAAGCATATTTAAATATTACAGTATATATTATAACATTTTACATTACATATTAAAATTTGTATTTTCAAATTTTAAAATGTTCCCGTTTACGAAGAAAAAAAAGTTATATCTATTTTTATTATATATTTTAATTATACTAATAAATATATCTGATAACTAAATTATATATTATTAAATAATAATAAATAAATAAATAAAACAATTAAATAAAAAATAAAAAAATTAAATAATAAAACAATAATTAAAAAATAATTAGATAAGTACTCAAATAATAAATATATCTATGTTTAGGCAATTAAAAAACTTAAATAATTTATTTATGTTTAAAACACTTATATAATAAATATATTTATGTTTTGGCAATTAAAAACACAAAAATAATAAATAAATTTATGTTTAGGCAATTAAAAACACTTAAATAATGTGAACTTTCATGTTTCAGGCAATAAAACACTTATATAATAAATATCATGTTTGAATAATTAAAACACTTAAATAATAAATATATTTATGCTTTGGCAATTAAAAACACAAAAATATTAAATATCCTTATGTTTAGGGAATTAAAAACACTTATATAATAAATATATTTATGTTCAGGTAATTAAAAACACTTATATAATAAATATCTTTATGTTTAGATGATAAAAAACACTTATATAATAAATATCTTTATGTTTAGGTAATTAAAAACACTTATATAATAAATATATTTATGTTCAGGTAATTAAAAACACTTATATAATAAATATCTTTATGTTTAGATGATAAAAAACACTTATATAATAAATATCTTTATGTTTAGGTAATTTAAAACACTTATATAATAAATATCATGTTTAAACAATTAAAACACTTATATTATAAAATATATTTATGTTTTGGCAATTAAGAACAACTATATAATAAATATCTGTTTAACTTAGAACTTAGAACTTAGAAAACTTTATTTATCCCGCAGGAAATTGCTTATGTAATGACTGCCATAACACACAAAACACAGAAACACAAAACCACAAGACAAAATAAATAAATTAAGTAAGTGAAATAAGTCACATAAATCCAACCAATCTATAAAAGGAAACAGCCACAATACATAAGTATACAAACTATTATATAAGATATTACACTTAAAAGAATCAGTGGTAACTAATACTATTAAGTCATATATCAAGTAATGAAAATAATATTAACCAAAACTAATAATATTACACATAAAACAATTACACATAAAATAATTCAAGTAGTAAAGTCATTCAGCACTCATTTAAAAAAACAAAGATATTGCACTAAAAATATTGTTTAAATGTTATATGTTTAAATAACTAAAACACCTTAATAATAAATATATTTAGGTTTAGGCAAATTAAGACACTTAAATAATAAATATATTTAGGTTTACGCGAATTAAAACACTTATATAATAAATATCTGTATGCTTGGGCAATTAAAAACACAAAAATAATAAATATCTTCATGTTTAGGCAATTAAAAACACTTAAACAATCAATAGTTTTATGTTTAGGCAATTAAAACATTAAAATAATAAATATTGTTGTGTTTAGGCAATTAAAACACTTAAATAATAAATATCTTTATGTTTAGGCAATTAAAAACACTGAATGTAAATGCATGGATTTATCACACAAATATGTAAAAGAAATAATGAAAAGAATGATCAAATTGGACCAAAAAGTCAATCCTCACTATGCTTTAATATAGATTTGTTAAATATTATAACATAGTCGCTTTTATTTGCGGAATAATAATAATGTCAACATATGTTCTTTATTAATTAACTTTTGCATCTTTCTAACATTTTTCAAAATAAACTTAACTGCTTGAGTAAACCAGCATAAGCCTCAAGTTTACTCATTACTAATCTTAAACACTTCCACATTCACCCCATCGGGCAACAACAGAAACAACACTATTCAAAGCAGACTTATTGCCTATGAGCTGGAACAAATACGTGGCTGTTGTACGAAATGTGTTTCCTTCTTTTGTTAAAATGCTGGACGTCCACCTGCTAACAGATCTATTACAGCAATAGTGACGTGACATCATAATGAAAACCTTCCTCTGATTGGAGGACACGGTGCCAAAAAAAAAAAAAACACCCTGACGGAGTAATAATATGGGTTTTGTGTGAATGATGGTAATCTTGTTTAGCATGTCCTGGGGCTCCACGTAAATGGCACTAGGTTATGACAGTGGCAAGCTTTTTTTAGTTTTTAGGGGGGTCGAGGTCTCCGAAGGCCCCTCTCGCTCTCTTCTCAACTCTCAACCTCCCTTCAGATCAAAAGCTGGTGTCTCGCTGCAGCAATTGTTGCGTTAAAAGTCTCTCTGAGAATTGTGGGGGATTTGCATAATGGGATTATGTAGGGATTAGGAGTCAGGCAGAGGACAGACACGGTTAGGACGGAGCTGAATTCACCACTCCATTCATTCGGACTGCAGCGTTCCACACACACTGCACCTGCAGAGCTGCTTTTCACAAACTAGATTCAAACTTCAGCACCACACAGACCTGCACAAAAACACACTCTCAACCAATGCACACTTTTGATTTACCTGCGAGCTCTGGCTTACTGTAGATTGAAATATCGGGAGTTGGATTTTCTGCATTGCAGTGAAATGAAGGCTTGGATGTGAAGGCTGTGAAAAACACTGCAGTAATCTCTCAAATTTGGTCCAAAGTGTGCCTGCAATCAAAAGATGTTGAATTTAATGTCATTTCAATCATTTAGTCCTGCAAGATCTAATAATCACAGCTTCAAATGAACAGGATAAATGTTTCTGTTTATATTTATTTTAAAGAAATTGAGTTATTTTAAAAACATTTTGAAGTAAATCAACATATTAATTATATATATATATATATATATGATACAACTTTGTGTTATAAATAATCTGATTTAAACTCCATATTTATTAGCCCCCCGTTTATTTTTCCCCAATTTCTGTTTAACAAAGAGAAGATTTCTTTAACACATTTCTAAACATAATAGTTTTAATAACTCATTTCTAATAACTAATTTTTTTTATCTTTGTCATGATGACAGTACATAATATTTTACTAGATATTCTTCAAGACACTTTTATACAGCTTAAAGTGACATTTAAAGGCTTAACTAGGTTAATTAGGTTAACTAGGCAGGTTAGGGTAATTAGGCAAGTCATTGTATAATGATGGTTTGTTCTGTAGACTATCGAAAAATATATAGCTTAAAGGGGCTAATAATTTTGACCTTAAAATGGTGTTTCAAACACCAAAAAAAACTGCTTTTATTTTAGCCGAAATAAAACAAATAAGACTTTCTCCAGAAGAAAAAAATATTATCAGACATACTGTGAAAGTTTCTTTGCTCTGTTAAACATCATTTGGGAAATATTCAAAGGGGGGAGGGCTAATAATTCTGATTTCAACAGTATTTTTTTTTCACATTTAATATCACATACATTTCAAATAATATCACATAATTTGCACATTTACAATATAAACATTTTAAAATAAAAATACAAATAAAAAGAATAAAACATATTGTAATTTTTATTATACAATTATTATTATGTAATAATAGATCATATGTAACATAATATATATTTTTTATTTGTAAGGTGATAAATGCAATTTGAGAAATAACACTTACAAAAGGGTTTAATTTGTTTATGTTATTAAATTACAATTCTACTATAGTATATATTAATCTTAGTAAAAGCTAATATCACCATTTTTACAAACAAATGCTGTATCTGTTACCATTTGGTAGTTTGGTATATAGTTTGGTATACAGTTGAAGCCAGAATTATTAGCCCCCTTTGATTTATTTATTTATTTTTATATTTCCCAAATTACAGAAAGAAAGAACTTTTCACATTATGTCTGATAATATTTTTTTCTTTTGGGGAAAGTCTTATTTGTTTTATTTCGGCTAGAATAAAAGCAGTTTTAAATTTTTTTAAACTCCATTTTAGGGACAAAATTATTAGCCCCTTTAAGCTAAATTATTTTTCAATTGTCTACAGAACAAACCATCATTATAAAATAACTTGCCTAATTTCCCTAACTTTCCTTGTTTACCTAATTAACCTAGTTAAGCCTTTAAATATCACTTTAAGCTATATAGAAGTGTTGTGAAAAATATCTAGTCAAATATTATTTACTGTCATCATGGCAAAGATAAAATAAATCAGTTATTAGAAATGAGTAATTAAAACTATTATGATTAGAAATGTGTTGAAGATTGTTTCTCTCCGTTAAACAGAAATTGGGGGGGGGGGGGGGGGGGGGGGGGATAAACGGGGCTAATAATTCAGGGGGAGTAATAATTCTGACTTCAACTGCATATTTAATTTTAAATATTTTATAGTAATTTGGTATAATATTACCATTTGGTATGATTATTTAACAATAATTATTAATAAATGCTAAAAGAATACAGTACTAGAGAGAATTC